CTACTTAAAAGAACAAGTACAAATCAATCAAAGTTCATCTTCTTGTAATTATTTCCAGTGGTGGAAGATGCTGCTGTAATACTAACAACCTTGAATTGACAAAAGGATTATACCATAAAAGAAAAAAAAAGGGGGATGTGAGGAGAATAACTTAACCGCTCTCCATTGTAACCCAGCGAGCAAAGAAGCCGCCAAAATATATGATTTTTTCCCCTTTTTTTTAATTTAAAAATATAAATTTTTTTAGTTTTTAAATAAAATAATAAACTTTTAATATTTTCTACTTAAAAATATTAGTTTTACAATTTTTTTTAAAAAAATTAATTGAATGATTAAGAACGTTTGTTTGTCTTATTTGTCATGTTAGTATTATTATTTAATTAATTTTGAAAAAGAAAAATTATAAAATTAACATTTTAAATAAAATAATTTAAAAACTTACTGTTTTATTAAAATATCAACAAAGTATACATCTTAAAATAGAAAGGATTTTTTTATTTCTTGAGGCACATATTAAAAGTATTTTTTTATATTAATTGTTATTGAAAAAATAAAAATTAACTTTGATTTAATTAAGTATCTAATTAAAATTATTCATATTACAAATGATAAAATTAATATCAACTTTTGTCATTTTTAATATCAATTAATAATAAAAATATGTATTAATTATATCCTTAACTTATAATATAAGAATATAAATTAAAAATAAAAATAAAAAATAATAAAACTTACATTCTTATTTACATGTGTTCTTGTAACCCAGCCCAATAAAAAGCCCGTTTGTTCAGTTGTTCTGATACTGTTAGGCTTGAGGCTTGTTTTCTTCGGACCAACTTTACATATCCAGACCATTTTATTTTCATTTTTTATTTTTCAACTTCCACATCACGTATCCAGAGTTCCAGCCCATTATTTTCAGGTTCAAATCTTCATTTCTCTCTCTTTTTAATTTTTTGGTGAATTTTTTTAAAAAAAATTTCCAAAAAAAAAAAATGGTAATAAGATTTCAACGTATAAATACTCGGCGACACAGCTGCCAAACCTAAAGCAGATGGTGACTGTTTTTTTCTCTGCATTAGTAATCCCATCTTGGTGCAGTCGTCACCGCTCCGTTCGGGCTTAAGATGAAGGTTCCATCTTTCAAAATTTTATTTTTTCCTCGTTTCACAAATTCAAAAAGCAGTTCTTCACTGTTTCAAGCTCTATCTTTTTTTTTTTTTAACACCAATAAATAATTTTATTAGGAAGTATAAGGCTACTCCAACCCATCTACATTAGTTACATATACAAAAAACTTTTGGCATAAAATTAATCCTTGTATCCTCCACAATCCTTCTTGTTCAGCCCATACATCATGCAAGATGCCAACTCACGCATCTAGTCAATAAAAGAAATACCTCCACACTCCCCAGCTACCCACAACCATTGGTAGGAACGTGCTTGAATTAAATCAAATAGCTTTTCATTATCTAGATGAGCATTCTTGAACAGGGTATCATTTCTAGCAACCATTGTTTCAAGCTTTATCTCCTTCTCTGTGTCCTGTCTTTTCGCAGTTCAATATTGCAAACCCAACTACGGGATGTCAAAAAAAGCTTGAAATCGACAATGATCAGAAACTGTAAGCTCACATCTCTCTCCTTCACTTGGTGTTTCTTTTAATTCTTCAATGTTGCTCTTAGTTACTACTTGAAAGGCTTGGCATTCAACACTTTATTATTATTATTTTTAATCTGAGCTTCTGTGGCTTTTAAGCGATTTGTTTGGCTATTTTGAGTAGAATGTAGATATAAAATTACTATAGATTGGATATATGGAGAAGGTGGATATATCTGTTGAACAGGTAAACAGAAAGTTAGACACAAGTAATATTGTAAGCATGTGTAAGTGCTTCTTTGTTCTATTGAAATTTATGTCTTAGTTAAACTTAAAAGAGATGGGCAGCTCTAGTTTATTATCTTAAAATGCATTTGAATTTCCCAGTCTTTATCTTTTGCAATACCTCTCTCTCTCAAATTTGTGTCGTTTTAGGAGTTTCTTTAATCTTCTTAAGTGTAAATGTTTGTCATATTTGTCTTCTTCTGTTTTGTTATTCAATTGAGCCTTTTTTAACAAGAGGATGTTGTTCCTCGAACATTCTTCTTCATTTCCACATCATGTTATCGTTGTGCTTCAGTCACAAGATCAAATAAAATAATAATTAATGAACTTATTAAGAAATATCGATAAGAAAATATCATCAAAATAGGTGTAAAAAACTTACTTATTTCAAGGCAATTCACACCTCTACGGAGAATAGATCAACCGGTGCAGCAAAGATACATCTAGCATGTCACCTCCTAAGATGCTACAGTTTTATAATAACACTCTATGAATCTACACTACTCATAGAGTTATCTAACTCAAAACATCCTTCTTTGTCCAAAAATATTTAGAAGACAAAGTAAAGTAAGGAAAATAAGAGAATGTGGAGGAACCCCTTTTTGAGCAAATAGACATATCCTATTTATACGACTCATGGTTATAACTCTCATTTGTAGGTTAACGATTGTAGGTTAATGATAGAAATAAATTGAGTAATTATTATAGAATAATGTGCCCTTAATAAGACAATTAACCTATAACGGCTAGTTTGACCAAGTCCTTAATGAGACAATAAATTTAATTTATAAAATATATTATTTTATTTTTTATTAAAATATTTAAGTTCCAACAGAGAATCTCACAGTAGGTCAGTGGTGATGCACTTGGTGAGGTATGATTATGTCTTGAAATTGCAATGTGGAGTTCTGCTGTGAGTTTTGAGTTTGCTTAAAGATCCTTTTTTTCAATTTGACAAGAATTGAAGGGCTATGTTTTCAAAATCATGGGAGGCTGTGACAAGCAACGTTTCCTAATGAAACATGGAGTGTTAACTCCTGGACGTGTCAGGCTCTTGCTCCATAGAGGTTGTTGGACCTTCTTTTCAGTTTTTAAAGGGCTTTGCCATCATTCTTGGATAAAGTGATGAATTGTTTAATTTTTCTTCAAGAACACCTTGCTTTCGAGGATATGGTAGGCGTAATGGAGAAAGGAAGAAGAAGTGTTGAATAAATAGGGTAGACAATCTGCAAAAGGCTTCAAGGCGAGCTGCAAATGTCACTTTTCTTTAAGCTAATTTCGCCCCCACTAGAGGTAGTATGCAAAAAGGGTAAACCAAAATGCCCGTAAGATACAATGAAGCACCTTGTTGATCTTTCCTTTGCACTAGCAAGATCAAGCACTAAACTATCCTTTGGAAAGTGATAAAACAATAGTTTTTGTACACGAAATTCTATAGCAATCGCAGTATAAAACAAGGGCTGTTTTATGTAGCTAATAGTAGGGATTTGTTTCTGAGTTCAAGAGACGAAGAAGAAGAAAAGATAAGTCCATATTCATAGGGGCAAGATGTCTGTTGGAAACAAATGCTTCTTTTTAGTTTATTTACTGATAATATCTGAATTTTTGTTAAATTTATCTATTAGAAACTCTTTCAAAAGTCATTTGGTTTGATTTGAATTCTAACTCATGTGTTTCCTTACCTTCTAAAGTTGTCCACTCTTTCTTGAGAAACTTATTAGAATTCTATCTCTTATTTATAAATGTGGTTTGAATCAAAATCGTACTTTTTGAATTTTGATTTTGCATAAATAGTTCAAATCATATTTATATAATTCGAACCAAAATCATATTTTCTCAAATGCATTTTGTGCAATTGCTTTGAACTAACTTTTTGTGATTCAAACCCAAATCTTTAAAGTATTTTGAAAATTCTTCAACATTCCCCCACCATTTTCAAAATAGAATAACCCATTAATTGTTTTGCAAATCTTATGCATACATGAAAGTATCTTACAATTTGAACCTTTCACTTAGGTTTAAATACCATTTTGGTCCCTCAACTTTTCACTTTGGCACCAAAATTGTCCCTTAACTTTAAAAAACATCAAAATTATCCTTAAACTTTTATTTTTGGTATAAAAATAGTCATTCCGTGTTAAATGGACAACTGACAGTTAAAATGCCACAACATCACATTTTTATAAAAATAATAATTACATGGAAAACACACCATGCAAAAGGTGATGAGATGGAATTTTTTTTTCCATGTGCTTTTTTTTCTATTTAAATAAAAATTCACATAATTTATTATTATATTCTTCTTCTTCTTCTTCCTCCTTTCTTCTTTCTCATCCCTCCGCCCCTTCCTCTTTCCCAGCCTTCTTCTTCCTCTTCCCTCCTCCTCCTACCTTTTTCTTCTTCTTTCTTTCCCCCCTCTCTTCCTCCTCCACTTCTTCCTTCCAGATCTGTGTGGGTTCTCCCTTGATAACTCAAATTAGAGGTACCCATGAATATTTGGATTATGGCGAATCGACCTTGGCAGGGACCTCCACGTCACTGACCTTGGGCTTTTCTAGTTTATTCTGCTTCAACTTCTTAACTTTTTCTGCCTTTCCGTTTTCCTTCAAATCTTCGAGATCACCATCCTCATCCTCGTCATCATCGCCATTTGAGTTGTGTCTCCCACATCTGCATTCAGCTTGGCCTTGCGCTGCCTCTGGGCGTAGGTGACCTTTTGCCAGCCATGGTCAATGGTGTGGCTGTTGGTTTCGTGGGTTTCGTTAAGGTGTAGTAATGTGGCGATGATAGCAAAATTAGAAGTCTGAGATGGGAGAAGGGTTGAATGGCGGAGAGGATGAAGGTTTGTGCCAGTAAGGAAAAATGGGTTTGGCGATGATGAATTTGTAGAGGGTGAAAGAGTAGTCTGATGAAGAGAGTCCAACAACTGGTAGGCGAAAATGCCGAGACAGGACCCAAATCTGGGCCTGAGCGAAACCCAAATCTAGGGTTGAGAAAAAGCCAAATCTAGAGAGGAAGAAGAAAGGGGAAGGGAAAAGAGAGAGAAAGAAAGAATAAGAAGAAAAAAGAAGAAGGATGAGCAAGGAAAGGAAGGTTGATAGAGAATGAGGAGGCAAAACTATCGAGAAGGAAAGGAGGAGAAGATGAAGTTTGTGAGAGAAACCCAGATCTATAATTGGAAAACAACCTTTTGCTTTATGCAAACTCCTCGCCCATGAATTCTTGGCTGATTCCATGATTTACTACGTAGAAAAATCCACAATTCAAACACACTTAAACCAAACTAAATAGAAACACATAAATTCAAAATTCCAGAAAAAAAAAAAAAAAAAGGAAGAAGTTAAGTTGAAAGATTTTCCACCATAGGTACAACAAACATAGTAGGTATTGAAAATAATTATGAATTTTCAACACATCTTTAATGTATTATGACCCAAACCAGACTTGATGATGCTAAGCTTCAAGTTTTTGGGTTTGCAGAGGCAAGGGAAAATGAAAAGGTAAAGGAGAGAAAAAGTGAAAGAGGAAGAAGGATATCAAAATTTTAAATTAAATAAAAATGCCAACTTATAAAACAAGATGGCCAACTGTGTTTTGTTTTTTCCATGTCATTAGTTAATGAAAAAAAGAATTGATTTGCTGGCAATTAACGTGATACCTGTCATTTAACTAACGAAAGGATTGTTTTGGTATCGAATATGAAAGTTTAAGGATAATTTTAGTACTTTTTATAGTTGAAGGACAATTTTGATGCCAAAGTTAAAAGTTGAGGGACCAAAGTATTTAAACCTTTCACTTAGTGAACATGTGTTGGCAAGTTAGTCAGAATTGCATGGTAGACCAATTCTTTGAACCAACAATTCTAAGTAACTAATTAGGTACATGTCACACAAAAGACTTCAAGCTTTCAAAAGAACAACTCAACATCATTGACACAAAAATTGGTCAGGTGTCCTGTATCCTTTTCATGAGTGCTGTTAGAGTCAAGTCCCCAACTCCTAAAAGCAGCACCACTTTCACTCACATAGGTAGATACCATCAAAAGTGCCACCGCATTAAGCACTTTAACAGAAATCTGTTATACGATCTATTAAGAGTAAAACTCAACCTCTTCTTTATTTCATATAGTTACTAAGTACTCTTCCACGTGGGTTGATTTATAAGTGGAGTACTTGCAATCACATTCATATGATGTACTTTACTCATTGAACTTAAGACTTGAAGTTTTTATCAAGCGTTAAGTCGAGGTTCCATCATGTGCGACTTTTATCAGAGACTTGAGACCCATCCCTATAGATGTTTTATATACTTGTTCTCTTGTTAATCCTTTTGTTAAAGGATCTGCTAAATTTTCACTAGACTTTACATAGTCTATGGTGATTATCCCATCGGTAATTAATTGCTTTACATAACTATGTCTTAGACCAATATGTCTAGACTTTCCATTATATACTTGGCTATATGCTTTTGCTAATGTAGCCTCATTATCACAATGTATTGAGATTAGGGACATTGGCTTTGGCCATAAAGGAATTTCATATGTTAAATCTTTTAGGTAAAATACCCAAATTCACCTCCAAAATATAGTTGTCGGGACGGATCTACCCCCGAACAAAAAACGAAGACAAGTTCTCCCACAAAGTTTTCAACTTGGACAAATCACCCAAATTTAATGTGTGATGTCATCTGACGTCAGCAATCCGTTCATTTGTTATGTCGTTAATAACGGATTGCTGATGTCAAATGATGTTAAATTAACGAATTGTTGACATCAAATGATGTCATATGTTAAATTTAAGGTGATTTGTCAAAGTCAAAAATTTTGTGGGTGGATTTGTCCTTGTTTTTTGTTTGGGGGTGAATCCGTCCCTGCTGTTATACTTTGGAGGTGGATTTGGGTATTTTGCCAATCTTTTAACCATACCCCTTCTTTACAAGTAGAGTTTAAGGCAATAAACTCAACTGGCATGGTGGAGTCTGTTAAGCAACTTTGCTTATTAGATCCCCAAGAAACAACACCCCCACCAAGCATGAAAATCCATTTGGTTGTGGATTTACAATCCTCATGATCCATGATCTAACTAGCATCCATAAAGCCTTCTAGTACGGAAGGATAACCATTATAGCAAATGCCATAATACATAGTTTTCTTGAGATATTTCAAAACTCTATGTATTCCTTACTAATGTAAAGAACTAGGATTATTTGAGTATCTACTAAGTTTCCCAATAGCATATGCTATATTTGGTCTTGTGCAAATCATTACATACATCAAGCATCCAATCACTCTTGAATATTCTAATTGTGCAATTGGTTTTTTATCATTAGATGTTAACCCTACATTAGGATCAAGAGGTGTAGAAACAATTGCACAATCATAAAATTAAATTTCTACAAGACTTTTTCTATATAATGGGATTGAAAAAGGATTAAATTATCACCATCTCTATGTATTTTTATTCCCAAAATCACATTAGTAGCACCCATGTCTT